AGAATAAAGGCTGAGCATTACGGAAACAGAACCAACACACTTAATGAAGTCATTTTTTTTTTTTTTTTTTTTAGTTTTAGGAGCAATTCAGGCAATTCAGAACTCCCTTATAAGTATTATGAAGCATCCTGTTTTACCTGGCACTTTGAAGGGTATAACATCAGAAAGGAGCCCTTCATCCTGTGCTTTCTTGGCAAGACTGTGAGAGCGCAGCGCATATTCATCCTGTTCCAGTCGAGAAACAGCAAAGGCAGCAGCCAGTCGGTCTGCAGAGTGGCCCATGGTCTCACTGGTAGAGAATTCAGCCACCGCAGGGAGCTGGAAAAGGAGACATCCAAAGAGCAGGAACACTGTTAACAGGTGTTATATGACACCTAGCATTGTTCTGTGTTATTTGGAAAAGCTAAAATCTGTTCACCATCTATAAATCAAGACCAAAACAAGGGAAGCTCTTTGTGAGCAGCTCTCTAAAGAGCCCTCTGACAAGGGCTCACAAACGCAAATTTTCTAACCACTATTGCTTTTTTCGCCATCTTGATCAAATAACCCTTCCCTGTAATTAAGAGAATCTACTACTATTAGAGCATACCAGAGCCCATACCTAATTCTAAATCTCTGCAGTCGGATGCTCTGGAAACATAAGTCTTTATTTACATAAAGTTCACAAGTCTTACCTCAGGTGACAGGAAATTCAATCTGAATTTAGAGATTAAAGACAGTCTCTGGCCCAGGGTCTTGGCCTTACTGAGATCAAGCATCATTTTCCTCATTTTTCTTGAATGACGAATAGGGACATCGGACATTAACTCTACACCACCTGCGATGACCACATCACACTGGCCAGAAGCAATCAAGCCAACACCTACAAGGCACAGGTTATACTTACATGAAGACCTTTTGTAGAAAATAACATACCATTGAAATTTAAGCTTCTGGATTAAAAAGTTGGACAATAGTTATCAGTTTTGTACATCTGTAATTAAAGTTTTCATGTTTTCAGATGGATTAAGAATTTTTTAAAATGACTAAAAACATATTCAACACACTAGAGAAAAACAAGTTTCATTCAGCCATATGGGCATCAACTTCTGGAATCAGCTGTTAGACCAACTCTCAAACAAATCATACTCTAAACCAGAACATCTTGCATATTTTATATGTTCCCAGCTTTAGTTTTCAGAAAGATTTTTTTTTCCTACAAAGAGAATGTTAATTTCTACCACAAGCCAGAGAAATTCTGGCCTTTGAAATGTGAGGTAGCCCCCTTCCCTCTTTATGGCCACTGGCTAGTATTCTGTTTCTCTAATTGGGAGTTGATCACATGCTGCCTAGAGTGGGGAACACCCTTGGCCACTGCCTCTGGCATCATTCCCTGCCACCCCTGATGTGGGCTGCCCAACCTGGCCTTGATACTACTAAATGAGCACGTGATTACTACATCTTTCAGGTTTCCTGTCTTTTCACACTAAGGGCTGATGCTACAAAATGTCCCACAATTTTGATAAAGTTTGTTAGGAGAATTTATAATGATTTATAAAAATGTCGAGGGTGTGGGGAGAAAGTGAAGGAAAGAATTACACTGTCTAAAACAGTGATTTACAACTATGGTGGTGGTGGAGGGAGGAGGACTCCATCTTAGTGGAGAAGTATCATATCAGAATCACCTAGGTTTAAAACCTAGAAGGTTATAAACTATTCACGCCTCAGATTCTGAAGCACCCTCCTAGAGACATACTCCTCCAGTTGATAATCCTTACTGCAGCCAGACACACTGCTGATGGAGGAACTACATCAATGGCTGTATGCCTCATGTATGGAGAGCAGGAAAAAGGTTGAGAACTACTGCCAAAAACCAAAATTTTAAATGTGACCTGATTTTTTATAAAACACAAGTGTAGAGATCTGTACTAATCTTTTACTTCTGTTAAGAGTACTTTTTTAATGACCATGTAAAAGACAAAAAAGGAAAATTACGATATACCTTGTGCTTTCATTTAAACATACCTGTGGTTATGGCTTGGTTGGCAGAGATGCAAGCCATGGTGACAGTGTGAGAGGGAATCTTGTCAGAGAAGCCAGCTCCGAGGGCAGCCTTCAGAAGGAAATACAATGAATGAAATCATCACTTATAAAGGAAATGCACCATGTAAATGATGCTCTGAGCACTACTTCTCTGTGTGGTAAATCAGGAAAGGGCTTCAGTTTAGTATTCTATAGAGCAATATTTAAAATAAAATTAAGCCCATTGCAGAAATGTTTACTAATTTTTCATCTTGCCATTAATTTACAGGCACTCTGCCAAATTCTTGGTTACTTGTTTCTAGTGTGGCATACAAGGCTACAAAACTCTTCTATCTCACCTAATGTCTTAGCAACGCTTTGCTCAGAGCCTTCAAGGATATCAATATATAATTTGATTTTAACTTGTTTGAATTTTCAAATACACTTAAAGAAACCTGTTAAAGACAGCTGATGGAATGATGAAATATACTATGGGGTGGGGTCCTCATGATCTGTGTTATCAGGCCTTATGATGAGTTATAAAGTTTAGTAGTAAAGCAAAAGTCATCAAACATGAAAATGACTTCTAAAGAACTGACCATTCATAAGCAGAGTTCCCACTCAGGTCCCTACCTGCTTCCTATCCCTCTCTCTGCTCACTGCCAGTTGGTTGCTCTCACCAACCATCTGAAACTCCAGACAGCACACTGCAGGTCCAATGCTGACTAGAACTGGAAAACTTGCCAAATATATAGAAGCTCAACTTGATGAAAGAAACTTCGGAGAACTGCCAGAGTCCCAAGTGGGCCTCTGACAAATAGGGTCAGATCAGTTAACAA